CCCCCCCTCCCATTATGAGTTTGTAGAATACAAATAGCCGTATTAGCGAATGAATATGTTTTTAAAATGTTGGAAAATGTGACCAACGCGCACGTTTACCGGCGAAAAATCTGGATTTTACGCACGCAGACAAAGCATTTATTATTTAGCACAGAGCGTTTCACACGATTCGATTGCTATTCAGTTCAAACTGCCATGGATTCAAGCCTCTGATTTGTAGCTGACATGCAGTCCTGTCTATCTGTAAATCTGTGGCTTTCTTTGTGTCGTCTAGCTGGTTTGAGATACATTTTTTTTTATTATGCATTTTAACCCCGAAGAACCGACAGACTGAGCTGATCGGAGATAAAGCGTGTTCTGGATGCAACAGGCATGTGTGGAGCCGGGTGAAATTCACGCAAACACGCTCTTCAGAAGCAGCGCTTCTTTTCTTTTCTTTTTTCTTTTCTATTCTTTTCTTTTCTTTTTTCTTTTCTATTCTTTTCTCTTTTTTCAGCTGATTGTGATTGCGGCTCATCAAATATTGCGGAAATATTTTATTATTATGTACCGGACCGTCTGATTGGACGCGACGGGCTCTTCGGCCGCACATGGCACATTTCCTCCAGCGGGAAGCAGCTCGCACGGACAGAGCGATCAAACGCCTGCATAACGCTTCCTTACTGAGGAAATGCCATCCATTGAGCCGTTTAGAAAACAAAGACAACGGGATCTGAATATTAACTCAGACTGCAGCGTGCTTGAATGCTTCGGAATATATATCTATATAAATATAAAAATAAATCCAGGACCAGGCATGTTATTTCCCCACACCCCGGTCTTACGTCTGCTGCACTTCTGTGGAAAAGTGGCGTCAGGCTCATGCAACCTTACAGTAAACGACTTTTGGCCCGCATCTATCAGCCTGTAATCACTCACTGCCAGTTTTCCATTACATGACCTCCTGTTTCTCTGTTTATTGGAGCAATAGAATATTTTATCACGCCTCTAGCATTTCGTATAACGACTCCAAGGAATGTCCGTGCCTCTGCTGCAGCGAGTTTATCCATCCATGCTTGTTTTATTACTTAACAGGATTTTTTTTTTCTTTCTCCGTGCCGTATTTCTGGATAAGAATTCCCGGCTTGTTCGAGCTGGCCGCTTCCCCCTTTCTTACTGGAACTGAGCTCGGTTCACACGTGCTGGACAAATCCCATACACAGTGAGTCATTGTGATAAACAAAGTTCCAATAGACTGCCGGGATATCCGACGGAAAGTCGGGAATAAGTGGAGGGGGGAAGGCTCGGGGAGCCCGGGACGTGCGTAAATTACGCGCAGCTGACAGGTCCTCCATCTGTGGAGGAGCAGCGATCTGCTCAGAAAAGTGTTTATCCAATGCAGACACTCTACGAAACCCCTGCTGCTTCTCCAGTTGGATTTTTTTTTATTGTGAAATAGGGTCGAACTCAGAAAACTCTGAAAAAGGATTAAAATTACTGTCTTGGTGTAATGAACCATCACAGAAAGAAAAAAAAAAAGTGTGGGTTTTAGTATGCTGCAGTTCCATGCTATATTGGGAGGATGCTCAAAAGTTGGATATTTAAAGGACGATGATAAGTCAAAAAGAAATAAGCAAATAATGAAAACCTTTTCAACTAGTTGACGACTCGATCCTTTCTTGAATTCCTGTTCATAAAAACAGCTATTCTTTGGAGTGTTTGGTTTGGGGTGGACATTACCCTCTCTGGATGCCCTTGGAGATGCAACTGTGGATATATATATAAAAAAGAAAAAACCAACGGAAACTGGTGCCTGTTTTAGGTTTAAAGTTTTCCACAAATTAATGCTTTCTTTAGTTTCCAGATGGGCAGCAAACCGACCCGTTCCACAGAGCAGATGTTTCATCACCGTTGGTCTCATTCTGCTTTTTGTAGAACAATGAGATGTGCCGGACACCTTTGGGCTTCCCCACATGATTCACTGCATGTGTCACCGTTCCACTCTGGGGGTTACAGTCGACGTGGATTGAATCATTACTATAAGCCTTTAAACAGGGGGGGGGGGGATGTGTGAATTTAATAATGGTGGGAGGCGTTGGATGCAACACCCGGTGTTGGTGCTTCCAGCAAATTTATGCACTGAGATGCTCAGAGGATTAAGAGGCGAAGACGAGTTTTGGCCGAACATGGTGACTGTTTTTCAACCCGTTCATCACTCTTTTTTTCTCTCTTCCCTTTTGTTGTTTTTTTTTTTTTCCAGAAGTACAGGGTTGACATGCCTGGCTCCAACAGTGCCTTCATCCCTACAATCAATGCAATCACAACCAGCCAAGACCTGCAGTGGATGGTGCAGCCGACCGTCATCACCTCCATGTCCAACCCGTACTCCCGCTCCCACCCGTATGGACATCACCTGACCAACGGGCCGAGCCTGCTGCCGCACAACACACTGGCCCGGCCCGGGGTCATCCGCTCCACCGGCGACCTCAGACGGCGCAAGAGGGAGGAACAGGTGTGTTAGTCTGAGAGTTTTACATCACAGTCACCCCCGCCTATCGATCCAACAGCTCGTCTAACGCGTCTTCTTCTTCTCTTCTGCACGCAGCTGACCCCGGAGGAAGAGGAGAAGCGGAGGGTGAGACGGGAGAGGAACAAGCTGGCCGCAGCCAAATGTAGAAACCGCAGGCGGGAGCTGACGGAGATGCTGCAGGGGGTGAGCATCACCGTCCAGCTGATCGGTGCACAGCTTATTTGTGAAGCCGGGCGTTCTGGCGAGAGCCTGAACTCCACTCCTGCTTTTGCAACCCCGCCGGACTGGTTTGACTCTTTAAGTGCTGGCTCTGACTGAAGAAATGACAGGCGTTGAAAAGCTTTTTGTCTCAGGCGGCTGCAGACAGAGGTTGGGCTGTCTCGTAGGCAGACAGTAACGGCATCTAAATGGACTAATTAGTGGAATTAAAGAGAGGCTGAGCTTGTCAGACAATTAAAGAGGAAGATAACCTGGAGTAGTGGATCTGGCCGTAGGCAAAATTTTAAACGTCGCACACCAAAAATCAAAAAGACCATCACACTGGATTTTTTCCTTTTTTTTTCTCTCTTTTTTTTTTTTTTTACTGATCCAAAAGTAGAAACTTTCCAGTGAAATTAAGCCGCAATGTTTACTTGAAGACTCGCGTCAGTCCTCACGAAGGACTTCCTGATACCTTTGCCCATGAGTCAAAGTTCTCAGACAGCATGTCGGCTTTATCGCTGCCGGTCTGACGTCCTGCAGTAATTTCCTCCTCTCTTTTTCTTTTGATTTGACACGTCTGTGTACAATGGCCAGAGGAGATGGCATCCCCTAGAGACACAAGCAACACAGAGTCATTAGGCGACGCTCAAATTCAGACACTCGGCTTACAGGTTGCATGGCGTTGGTCCCGAGGTCTCCTGACAATAAATCAACAGAAACAGAAGCGGATGAACACTGCCCTCTTTTGGTGTTTTAGGAAATGACAGAAACCTTCTGGAGGCTCTGCTGAACGAATTAATAGACTTGGTACAGATTAATGATCGTTTTGTTTCCAAATCTCTGAACAAAAGGCAGTCTGCCGTGTGCTGCGTGTTACTCCCTTCGCTCTCAGGCTTTTCTGTATGATTACTGTCAGATTCAGACAGAAACAGCCGCAGGAATTCTGCTTAGAAATCGACTGCGGCACGTTGCAGAAGCGAGTGAAACAAAGCAAAAGAAGATACAAAAATAAAAACGAAATAAAAAAAGGGAGAACAAATATGACAGGTCTATAAAATTCCCAAAAGAAACACAACACTAGAAAAATATAAGAAAATAGATAAGTCAAACAACTGAATACCACCAAAATAAAAAGGTCTTGTTATAAAAATGTAAATTAAAAGAATGAAACAAATACTAATTGTTTTTAGTATCTTAATAAATAAATGGCTGAATGAAAGAACAATAAATGTAAGAAAAAAACATACAAATAAAACATATTTTAAAAAATAAAAACAGAACATCAGTAATAGAATAAATAATGTAGAAAAATTAAAAATATAAACAAAAGAGAAGAATCAGAAGTAAATGTACTGATTAACAATAAATAATTATATTTTCATAAAATATAATTATTTAAATTGATCAATTGATAAATAAATATCAATTTAGGAAAAATATAGGAAAAAATAAGTAAATAAATAGAATGGAAACTGGAAAATGACAATAAATCATTTTGGTGGAATATTTTGAAAATGTAAACCAAAAATATTCACGTAGAAAATAAAAAGATAAACGGCATTAAAACAAACAAATAATGGGGGAAAAAAAACAAATACATAGATCAGAAGAGGAACAAAATATATTACAATGGAAAACAATTGCAACTAGGAATTTTTAATGAAAAATAATTTCACAATAAAAATCCCCAATGTAGTTATGTTATTTGAATATATTATCATATATTTATACATATAACTATTAAAATCATTACAATGTAATATTCGCATATTGTAATATAATAATAATGTCATATATTAGTAATAATGATAAAGATGTAAAGAGATATTACTTGATTTTCAACACATATGGATTTAAAAGTTTAACAGTTTGTCCAAAAATCTATTTCTGACGTTTATTTCGTATTTCCTTCAAAGTTTGTCCATAGTTTCTCAGACCTGTCGCGCTCTTGCCGCTGCCCTAACATCCCAGCTGATGTTGTCCTTCCTCTGAACAGGAGACCGAGAAGCTGGAGGAGGAGAAGGCCGACCTGCAGAAGGAGATCGAGAGCCTGCAGAAGGAGAAAGACAAGCTAGAGTTCATGCTGGTCGCCCACAACCCCGTGTGCAAGCTGCCCGTCGACGAGCGCCATCAGCAGTCCAGCCACCACCAGCAGCAGCAGCAGCAGTGCAACCCGCTGCAGCTCACCATGCGCCCCAGCCTGAATCCGCGTGCACAGATGAACCAGGTGGTGGTGAAGCAGGAGCCCGAGGACATAGAGGAGGAGGTGGGCAAGCCCCAGCGCTCCGTCATCAAGCCCATCTGCCTGGGAGGCGGCGGCATCAGCGGCGGGATGTACTGCCCGGACGGAGACAGCCTCAATACGCCGGTGGTGGTGGCGTCCACCCCAGCAGCCACGCCAAACGCCCAAAACCTCATATTCACCTATCCCAACATGATGGAGCCCGAGAGCCCCTCGCCCTCTTCCGAGTCCTGCTCCAAAGCCCACCGGCGCAGCAGCAGCAGCGGCGACCAATCCTCCGACTCCCTCAACTCACCCACGCTCCTGGCGCTCTGAGTCAGCCAGGGCGGGGCGCCGAGGCCCAGCTGGGAAACAAACACTGTGGTTGAAAACAACGAGGACAGACTGCCCCTCCATCCCGAGACCCTCTGGCTCTCGCTAAAGCACATTGAAAAAGTCCAGACCAAGCTGACCGTGTGAGTCGGCTCCCCCTCCTGATGGGAGGCAAGGGAGGTTGGAGAGGGGGAGACCCGTAAGGGCTACGCCGCGTTTCTTCTTCTTCTTCTTCTTCTTCTTCTTCTTCTTCTTCTTCTTCTTCTTCTTCTTCTTCTTCTTCTTCTTCTTCTTCTTCTTCTCCTCCTTCAGCCTGAACGTTTTTGTATCCATCAACGTGTGTGCAATCATCCGCCATCCCTTCAGCATTTCAACTGCAGAGTGTTGATTTGTTTACTGACATTTACGACAAAAAAAAGAAGAAAAAAACACAACCATCCAGAGAGCGACTTGTTAATATATTTTTCTGAAAACACCTAAAAAGCCATGCGGTCGACGCTTGCACTCTGCCGATCAATCTGTAACAAATCACCAAGCGAGGTCAGCATTCTGCTGGGATTTCTGCAGAGGCCAAGACTCTCATTTTATTTTATTTTATTTTTTCCTCTCAGACTCTTATGACTCAATTCAGGACAGAGTGCACACTTTCTCATGTTATTTCCATCTCTCTCTGTGTATTTATGACCTGTGCTGGTGGAATTTTCTTGTCCTCTCCTTTAAATCTGCAAGGTGACCTGAGGGTGACCTCCTCAGCATTACAGAGAATTTGAGCCATCCAGCTCCTCAATAAATATTTTCTCTTTGTTTTGCCATAGTGGCTTGAATTTGCAGTAGTATTGTGTGCTTTTTTTTTTTCTTCCTTGGTGATTCTGTACCTGAACCCTGTTTTTTTTTTTTGTTTGTTTGTTTGTTTGTTTGTTTTTTGGACAAAGTGTATGTGATTTACATTGATGTCAGGGATTATCTCTCATGTGTTTTAGTAGAACCCCCGTCGTTCGTGACGAGTGACTGTGGCAGAGGTGGTACTTTCAAAAAAGAAAAAAAAAAAAAAAGGTTTCATTTAATTGTTGTGAGTCGTCTTTTGCTCCGACATTAAAAAAAAACAACAAAGTTTGAACAAAACCCTCCTCCGCTTCGTTCTCTAAATAAACATCCTTTTGTTCCGCCGCTGCCTTCTCAGGGGCCGCTCGGGTTTCAAAAAGCCAAATCCGCTTTTTCTTGGCACGTGTAAATCCTGTGTTTCATCAGTCCTCGTCTAAAATAGAAGGAGGGATTTTTTTGGTCAAACTTGAACAAAAGCCACGGTGGTCCAGATTGTCGCCAGCTGCCAAATGATGTCAACCCTGTTTATATATATAAATATGTATAGGCTATATGGTGTTTGTAAAGCAGTCACTTTTAGTACAACAAAGATGTTTAAACCCAACTCAGACGGGCTGGTTTCTGGGTGCAGGAGGTACTTTTAGACGACGAGGAATAGGATGAAGAAGACTCTCTCTACAGCTGGCCTGATGTGAAAGAGCGAACACTTTGAAGAACTTCTTGTTCATCATTTGTATATGTTAAAGGGGAAGTGGGCTTGGGCTATCATGCACTGACAGAACAGCGATATTTACCATATATTTAGTTTACTTGAAACATTCCATATGAATTTAACGCGACGGGGTTTGAACCCAAACAGCCCTTTTCTTTTTCTAATGACAAGAATTTGAGATGATTCCCGGATGCAGAAAACTACATTTTAAAGCCAATCCAAGCTGCTGCTACTCGTTTAGAAAGAACTCGTCAGCTGTTTTTTGATGTAATTTTAATTTGACTGGCTGTTTTCAATCAACGGGGGGGGGGGAATCTTTAATTTGGCTGGACAGCACAAAGGGACAGATCTGAGAACCAAAACCGTCTAAATGTCTTTATGTCGGAGCGTTCTGGAGCCCCCCTCTCCACACACATAGGAAAGCCATCGACTGTAGATGTTCTACTGTACATGTCATCTGCTGTCTGTCGCCAGTTGAACTACAATTTCTTCTTCTTCTTCTTCTTTTTTGTTTTCCCAAATGCTTTAACTGTTCAAAATGATTCAAAATGAATAAAAACAGCAATATGTATAGCAGTGTTTGTTAATTTAAAAGAGTAATAATAAAATAATTTTCATCTTGGAAAATGTCTGTTTTCATGCTTTCGTTCAGGTCACCGGATGTCGAGATTTTAATTTAGGTCCATTACTTTTGCTAATGATGGCAATATTACAAATACATTTCATATGAGGCACAAAATAAAATCAAAGCTTTCCTCAGCACTTCTATTTTTTTTTATCCATCTATGAGGAATACAAACTATATATATTTTTTACTTTAATATTGAGCAAAAAATAAAATGCATGAAATCGAAAATAAAAAATGCAATAAAAAAATTGCAATTAAACAGAAATTAACTTATTTTCTACATGTAGTAGAAAAAGGTGTATTTCAGCTTGCACTTGTTTTATGTGTGCAAAACAACAGTGTAGAGGCTTTCCATGGTAAAAGACTCAAAATAATCCTGAAGTGTTACAATAGACGTCCTTGTATCCTGAATAAGCATTAGCAATCCCATTACTCCTTTTAAATGACAGAAACCTTCAGGTAATAAAATTGTCCATAGTAATAAAAGGGAACAGAAAAAGCATTTTTTCATGAATAACTACTTAACAGAAAATATCAGAATGTCATCAGCATATACCGTGATACAGCAGCTGGCGCAAATGTGCATGAAAATAAAAAAAAGAAAATAAAAAAAGTAAAAAAGCCCCAGTCATTTTGCTCATACAGTGAATTTATTTAGAAATAACATTTGTCCACATGTGACTGTGAGCTAAACGGTGTTAAGCCAGGAATATCTATTTCCCTGAAAATCAACAGGTGATGTAACTTGGCTGATGCCTCAGCAATAAATGATGCAAAAATAATCCAGGAGTGAGGAAAGATAATAAGTCATGATGTCCTGAAGAACAATAAAAAAACCACATCACTCCACCTCTATATTTCTAAAATACAGATATTTTCAAACACTCATATTGTCATAAGTGTGATAAAACACAGAAAACCATTTTCAAGAACTCAAATTACATTTTTAAGTCATGACTCAAACTGCTGTAGGATTCTCAGTAAACAGATAACATACAATGTCATAATATCATCAACATAGATGTTTATATATTATCTATCATAGATTTGCAGTTGTGTGACTTAGATGAAGACATCAGGTATCTACAAAAAGCTGAAAATCTGCCCCAAGAGAGTACATATTAAGAGAAATATTTGTCCACATCCCACTGTGAACTATATGTATTGCATCAACATGACTAAGAAATAATGACATATACAGATTTTGACATAAAGACAAAATTATCTTCAAATTTTCAAAATTATAAGAGTAGCTTTAAACTATTCCAAAGAAATATAAAAAATATCCATGCAAAAATGTTTCAGTATGAAAATACTAGTTAGGCCTAACTACAGCGTTTCACGTAAAACCTTGATCTTTTTTGTTAAACTGTGGCAAATCTAGTTCAACTAGACACAACTAAACATATTCTGTTTTGGAGAAAAACATGAAAGGAGCATCAGAAAAAGTTCAGTCACTGTTGTCAAGTTGATCACAAACTGTTTTTTTTTTTTTTTTCAGGGCCGACAAATGTTAACCAGCAGAACTAAGTTTATTATGCGTGGAGTGTATTACTAGAAGTTCAAGACCTTGGATGCAACACCAATTTAGGCTGAAAAGATCAGTTTTTGTATTTTTCATAAATTCACTGATGACACACATTTTACTTTTTAGAATTGAATTTAAGTTTGGATTTTTAGTAAAATAGCAACAATAGGTTATCTAGTTCTGATCGTGGATCATTTTATCATGTTATTTCTGGCATAAAGACGAGTTTTTGTATTTTTATCAAGTCAATGATGGCAAATAAGCATATTTAAAATTTTACACGTGCATGTAAGTTTGGATTTTCAGACAAAATAGCCACGATATGTTCTTCTGATCATGGATTCCTTCTAACTTGCTATTTCTGATTATTTTCTGGTTATTCAGACTAAACGTTTGGATAAAAATTAGCCACACATGAGAGAGCAGGATCATTTTCCAAACAAGACATTTGTCAAAAGGGTTCAACTTTGTTTTTTTGTTTCCGTTTCCTGCTAATAAGAATTTTTGTAAAAAAGGCTGAGGCTTCTTCTTCTGGGTGCAATGGTAAACATCTTAGCGTTTGCTGCCCTCAAGTGGAACTGTTGTGGAATTACAACACAAAGAAGAAGGCTTGGCTTTAATAACCTGAACTACAGGATCACTGCGCTGCATCATTGCTCAGACATGCACGCTTATAATGTTTGTTTTCACTATGATTCAGAAAATCTTTCACCTGCAACACGAAAGAAATTTTCTATTGTACAGAATTGAAGAGAGCTTGGTGTGACATTAGTGAGACTATTAAGGTTGTTTCAGACAGAGTTTCATGACGTTAGCTGGGATTTAATGCTACTTTGTAAACAGAAACCCAGATTAACCACGAGAATTAAGGTATCCCGATTCTGATGGAATTTAAAAAGTTGAGTTTTTAGGCGTGGTCCTATTGGGTCAGATAGTCAATTCAAACTTTTACAAGTGGTTTCTTGAATTTGACTGTACTACTTATACCTTCATAATATTTCCAGGACTTACTTGGTTCTTTCCTACAATTTACAGATTCCTTTGCGTTCTAAGAACGGACAGAAAACCTTCAAAAACTTCCATTGAACTATCATGAAATGCACATACTACCTACTCCATTATAAGGTGAATTTAAAGTATTTTGACATTTTTGTTTGTTCTAAAACCTAAGATTAGATATAAATTTGTAGCTCTTTAATTTAAGACTGACACATAATTTACACAGTACATAGGTTTTATGGCTCTAAATATGTAAGAAGGCCAAAAACATCTTTTTAGACTGAGCGTTCGTCACGTCACACATAACTGAATAATTACATATATTTGCATTTGTTTATTTGTCATGAAAGAAAATCCTACCATACGTGGCGTAGACTCTGGAGGAAAGTGGAGTATCATCTGTGAAAAGGAAGGCAGTGTCTTTGAGGATGCCATTCCTTTTACATCTTCAACTGGTTTAATCAGCAATAAAATTGCAATTTTGCAAACTTGATCCTGTTATAGCTATTTTTACACACGTCTCTATTGGTGAATGTGCTCTTTGTTGTTTTTATTTGCCCTGCATGTATTCTTCAGCAAGAAAGGATGAATGTAATCAGTTTTTGTACAGGCAGAATGTCTGTGTAAGGACCTTCTCGATTCTGAGATGGCTGCTGTCCTGCTGACGGTGGCTTTCATGAAGAAAAGCAGTGAAATAAAATCTAAGTGAGGCACCGTGTGATTTAAAGTGTGAAGACGTGTCAAAGGAGGATGAACTAGATGTCTCTAAGTGCTGATTTAAATATTTATCTGAGCTGAAACCTCAGACTAAGTACTGACAGCTGCACTAAATGCTTTCAGCTGCCACTGAAACAGATTTGGATACAGATCAGTACACTCGCTCCAACAGTGAAGTTGGGAAAGAACTGTGTGAACGAATGCTCTGAAATTCTAATAAATATTTATGTGAATTCATTTATTCAAGGTGTTCTACCTCAAACTATACCGTCTCTGCCTCTGATGAAGCTTGGAAAACTTGTTGAAGATGTTAGTAATAGGAAGAGCAACAATAAGCAGCCCACAGACGATGCACAGGGTTCCTATCAGCCTCCCCGCTACAGTAACTGGGATTGTGTCACCGTAGCCCACAGTGGTCATGCTGATGGTGGCCCACCACCAGCCGACAGGGATGGTCTGCAGCTGTGACTCTTTGGACTCTCTCTCTACAAAGTAAATAAGAGCAGAAAAGAGAGAAACCCCCAAAGATAAGAAGAGCAGCAGCTGCCCCATCTCCCTGGAGCTGTGCCTCAGTGTGGAGCCGAGAGAGCGGAGTCCAGCTGAGTGACGGGCCAACTTCAAAACACGAAACACTCGGGTCAGCCTCAAGATTTGCACCACTTTGCCAACATTCTCCAGCTCTTTACTCCCGTCTTTC